TTTTATTAATCTATTTAATATTTTAATTTTATATAGAGAGTTCACTTCTACTCATTGAATTTTTTTCTCGAGCCGTACGAGGCCAAAGCCTCTTATACGTTTCTAAGGGGGGGGGGGGTATTATTCATATACATCTATCCCAATGAGCCGTTTATCGAATTGTTGCAATTGATGTTCGATCCCGAAGAGAAGAAAGAGATCTTCGGAAATTGAGTTTTTATGATCCGATAACTAATCAAACTTATTTAAATCTTCCTGCTATTCTCGATTTCCTTAAAAAAGGCGCTCAACCAACAAGAACAGTTCATGATATTTCAAAGAAGGCCGGGATTTTTACGAAATTAAGTCTTAATAAAACGAAATTGAATTAATGAAATATAAAAAAGAGGATGTGAAAGACTCATATATAGCTTGGTATAAAATTTTATCTACTCTTTTCTTTCCTCCTCTTTTGTTTCCATCATATTTATTTTTATTTATTTTTAGTATTCTTCCTAAGGTAAGAATACTAAAAAATACCCTGCTAACAACTACTATGTTTTATAATCATAAACAAATTATGTTTTATAATCATAAACAAATTTATGAAAAAAAATTTGGATGCTAATTTTTGTATAAATACAAAATTTTAGTGTATAGAAAATAATATGTATGTATATTCATAAAATTAATATTATTAAAATTAATAATATTATATGAATAATTTATTCATTATTCATAAAAAATTTAAAGGCCATACAAAATGGATTTAAAAAAGTATAAAAATATCTGAGATTATCCTACCTGGCTTAGTTTTCATTCATTGTAAGAACTAACAAACCAAGGGGTTAATCTTTTTTATTTCTTTTTTATATTCTTTTCGCTATATTAAAAATTAATAATCATATTGACAACAGTGTATCGACCAAATATAATTCTCTCATAGAGAAATAGATCCATTTATCCCGGACGCACACATGACTGGATTTTTCTTTTTTTTTTTCTTTATTCTGGTTGTATCTACATATTTGCTGTACTTTCTTTTTTTGTTTTTGGGGGTTGCTAACTCAACGGTAGAGTACTCGGCTTTTAAGTGCGACTAGCATCTTTTACACATTTGTATGAAGAAAAGGATTCGTCCAGATCTGCGGTAGAGTTTGTAAGACCACGACTGATCCTGAAAGGAATAAATAGAAAAAATAGCATGTCGTATCAAGGGAGAATTCAGATAATTTTTTTTGCTTTCCTGATCGGTACAACCCTGTTTTCAGTGTCGACAAAAAAAAGGAATTCCAATTTGGGTCGAGTGAATAAATATAAATGGATGGATAAAAAACCCATTTTTCCTGATTCCAGGAAAAAAAAAAAGAAACGAGCTTCCATTCGTAATTTGAAAAATTACCCGATCTAATTAAATGTTAAAAATAGATTAGTGCCTAATACGGGTATGGGAAGGGATTTTTTTCTTGCGTGTTATTATCAATTTTTTCATGAGTCCTAATTATTTTTTTCCCTAGTCCGTTTGGGTTAGGTTGGAAATGGATGTGTAAAAGAAACAGTATATTGATAAAAATATATATATATTTCCAAATTCAAAAGAGCGATTAGGTTAAAAAAATAAAGGATTTCTAATCATCTTGTTTTGTTATTCAATAATATAACGAACAGAAACCTATTAAAAATAGAGAATCCGGTTAGCAGTATACCTGTTTATGAGGTATCTATTGTTTTCGTAATTTAATACCTTATTTTGACTGTATCGCACTATGTGTCATTTCAGAACTCAAGAAAATAAAGTCTTTTAGTGAAAATCGAATTTCAATCCAAATGGAGAAATTTCAAGGATATTTAGAGTTCGAGGGGACTCGGCAACAGAGTTTTCTATATCCCCTTTTTTCGGGAGTATATTTATGTACTTGCTTATGATCACCGTTTAAATAGATTAAATAGAAATCGCTCCATTTTCTTGGAAAACGTAGATTCTGACAAAAAATATAGTTCACTAATTGTGAAACGCTTAATTTTGCGAATGTATGAACAGAATTGTTTGATTTTTTCTATTAAGGATTTGAACCAAAATACCTCTTTGGGGCATACCAATCTTTTCTATTATCAAATGATATCTGTTTTATTTGCAGTGATTGTAGAAATTCCATTTTCCCTAAGATTAGGATCCTCTTTCGAAGGAAAACAATTAAAAAAATCTTATAATTTACAATCCATTCATTCAATATTTCCCTTTTTAGAAGATAAATTAACACATTTTAATTATGTGTTAGATGTACTAATACCTTACCCGATCCATCTAGAAATCTTGGTTCAAACCCTACGTTACCGGGTAAAAGATGCCTCTTCTTTGCATTTTTTTCGGTTCTGTCTATACGAGTATTGTAATTGGAAGAATTTTGATATTAAAAAAACATCAATTTTGAATCCAAGATTTTTCTTGTTCTTATATAATTCTCATGTATGTGAATACGAATCCATCTTTTTTTTTTCTACGCAAGCGGTCTTCTCATTTACGATCGACATCTTATAAAGTCCTTTTTGAGCGAATTTTATTCTATGTAAAAATACAACATTTTTTTAAAGTCTTTGTTAATAATTTTCCGGCGATCCTAGGGCTGCTCAAGGATCCTTTCCTACATTATGTTCGATATCACAGAAAATGCATTCTG